TGCTCCCATTCACCCTCCTGACCCTCAATTTTATGGATTTCCCAACCAAACCCAATGAGGATTGGTCTTTTCTTGGGGGGTTGGGCTCCACTGTGTGGAGGGCAGTGGGGTTTGGGGTGGCAGGATTCCATTGGGGTGGCGGGATTCCATTGGGGTGGCGGGATTCCGTTGGGATGGGGGGGGTTCTGTTGGGATGGGGGGTTCTCTGTTGGGTAGGGGATGATGGAGTCTGGGATGGTGGGACCCCGTTGGGTGGAGGGCAGTGGGGTAGTGGGGCTTGGGGTGATGGGACTCCATTTGGATGGTGGGGTTCTGGTGGGATGGGGGATGGTGGGGTTTGGGGTGGGGGGTCCCCAGTGTGGTGGGGAAATGAGAGGGGAGAAGAGGCCGGGGAGCAGCAGGGTAGCGTGGATTAAGGCTCCAGTCCCTGCGGGGGCGTGGGTTCGAATCCCACCGCTGCCACGACGCATCTTTTGGGGGCCCCCGGGGGGGAACTTCTGCACCTGGGGGTGCCCCCATCCCAGGGGAGGCCCTCCCCCCTTCGCCCCCCGCCACTGCAGCTCTCCTCAATCAGAGGAATCGTTCCTTTTCCCACGCACTGAGTGCGCCCAGCCATCGCCCACCTGCCCCACAAACCCTTCCTGGTCCCCGCAGCCCCCCCACCATGGGAAGAGGGGCTGTGGGGGTGTCACAGGGCAAACGTTATTTAATTTCTGCACTAATGGTCAGTTAGTTAAAACCCCTGCTGACCAAAGAAACCATCGCACCGTGGGCACGGCTCAGAGCTCCCACCTCTCCCAGCTGCTCCAGGCCATAAACCTGCATCAGCAGCCCTAACCCCCCGCCACGTGCAGGGTCGCAACCAGCAGCCCAGGCTGCCCAGAGCCACATCCTATGGCCTGAAACACCTCCAGGGGTGGGGAATCCACAGCTTCCCTGCGCAACCGGAGAGGTCAGCGCCCTGGGAGCGAGGCCAGGAGAACGTGCTGTCACATAACCACAACAGAGGGATGGATGCTGGTGTCTCCGTCTTTATAAGGACACAGAGCAGATGCTTCAGCTCAGCTCAGCACAGCAGAGGCCCATTTGGGTTCCCCCCTCCAAGTTACACAGCGAGGAACGACTCCGAGCTTTTGTGAGGACGGCTGCGGGCCTTCATCCAGCTCTCACCAGATGGGCACAGAGACCCTCCCATGTTTTGTGACACACAGCGTGCAGCCGACGTCTCAGAAATGCCCTGGCTACGCGCACACAGCGCCCACAGCCCTGCGGCCGCTGCTCCCCTCGGGGTGCACAATGGGTGCAGCGACCCCCTGAGCTCCCAGCGCTGCGTTAAAGCAATTCCTGCTTGGCATAACCCACTGCCACGCCGCGTTACCGCTCGGATCCCCCAGCTTCACTTCTCTCCTCCTCCCGTCTGACTGCTGGAGGGCAGATCATCACCCCCTGTCTGCACCCCTGCTGTGTTGCCTGCAGCACTGGTGAAGAAACTGCAAGGTTTACACTGAGTTTGCAACATACGCTGCTCATTTACCCCTGTATAGCCCCGTCCGTGACCATGGTAGGGTCACTAATCAACAAATAAATCAAGATCTTAGAATTGTCAGGGTAAGAATAGATGAGAAACGAGTGCTGAAATGCTTGAGCAGAGATTTTGGCTATTGGATAAGAGTAGGTGCACGTGTCTTTTCAGAGAATTAAGGTAAAGAATTCAGATGACCTGAGGCATGACGAACGGGGACAATGTGTTATGGAAGGAACCAAAAGGGACGATGAGCACGTTGTTATCCCCCCTTTTTGCTATGAAGTCACCCCTGAAAAAGTGTATAAATACGCTGTGTGTATGTTGGGTCTGGGGACACTTGCTAGAAGTGACCCGACCCTGCTGTTGCAGCGGAGTCTGATCTAATAAAGCTCCGTGATGAACAGCTGAGTTCGAGTCTCACTGCAATCCCGTCTCTGAGTTCGAGTCCCACCTACAAGGCTGTCTCCAACAAGCACCCAGCCCTTCAGATGCTCTGCTCCGTTTCCCGTCCCATTGGTTGCACTCCCTGCTTCCTTCCTCCCACCCCTATCAGAGCTTCCTCAATGCTGGGCAGGCGGATGGCACGGCTGCACGGCTGCCCCCAGCTCCACAGAGCCGCTTTGCTGCGGGGTTTGGCTGCGATTCGGACCCTCGGACACACTTGGCTTTCACTTTCACCTTTATTCCATGAAACGTGTGATTTTGGGTAGAATTCCTGTCTCCTCTCCACCTCCACCACACGTCGTCAGTGGGCTCCCACCCGCACAAATCCTTCCCCACTCCCTCCTGCTCCCTCTCCAGTGCTTTTACATGGGATGGAGCACACACCAACTCACCCTGTGCCGCTCCATGACCCCACATTCACACAGCCACCATCTCACCATCTCTCCGTGCCTTATCATTGCCCAGCCCAGTTCAGGGTGGTGGCACCGAGCCTCCATGTCACTGCCATCGTGGGACAGGACGTCGTGCTGCGCTGCCACTTGTCCCCTTGCAAGGATGCTGGGAGCTCAGACATCAGATGGATCCAGCACCGGTCCTCTGGCCTTGTGCACCACTACCAAAATGGAGTGGACCTGGAGCAGATGGCGGAATATAAAGGGAGGACAGAACTGCTCAGGGATGGTCTCTCTGATGGAAACCTGGATCTGCGCATCACAGCTGTGAGATCCTCTGATAGTGGCTCGTACAGCTGTGCTGTGCAAGATGGTGACAATTATGCAGAAGCCGCGGTGGACCTGGAGGTGTCAGGTCAGTGGCTGGGGTGACGCTGTCCCACCTCAGCGTCCGTTGCTTTCCTCTTTCTGTTCCAGGAAAACCAGCTAAGGAACAGGATTGAGAGATGAACTGCGCCTCACGGTAACCACAGGAGTTGCGCTTCACAGACTGCTGATTGCACAGGATGCCAAAACCACAATAACTCCAAGCAAGCAAGGAAACCCACACTGAAACAAGTGGAGCCAGAGTTTGTTCTGAGTGAGAACACAGAACTGCAGTTCTGTGAGCCAAAGCTGCCACAGCAACCACCGAACTCAGGATGTGCGACCTCCAACTCAAATCCTATTGGAAGAAATAAACCATAGAAAGCAAGGAAGGAGACGGAGATCCTGGAAAAGGGATGGGCATTTTGGGAAATAATATGACCATGTATCAGGCTTTGTGGGCATCTAATGAATATGTAACGCTTTTGGAAATAGAAGCATGCATGCAGAAGCAAAGTGAAAAATGGCTTTGGGTGTTAACACTGCTCTTCTCTGTCACGATATAATAAAGCATGCCTGCTGATGGTAATCTGTTATCAGTTATCTGGGGTTTGGTTCCACAGAACAGGCTGAGTCTCCATGCTGGAACCAAAGCAATGTGGGCTCTATCGGAAAACAAGCCGACCATTCTCACCATGTGCTGCTTTCCCAGCAGAACAAGGCTGCCTGCAGTAAGCTAAAAAGGAAGAAACAAAATTAATACACAAAAATACACAAAAATAAGAAAATCAGAAAAAGAACACTAAAAAAAAAAAAATATCTATAATTATAGCAGTTATAATAACTTAAAAATAACACACCTACCTTCCTCAATGCGGGAGCACCAACCACAGTCCTCTGTGTCCCATCCCAGTGCTATGAGAACAGCCCTGCATTTCAGAGCTGACCCTCCACAGCAGGAGGGACTCTCCTCCACAATGACCCCCATCACTCACATTGGATGCACAAAGAAACAACAGCCCTAAAGGTTCCTCCTGATGCTTCAGCCACGTGTGTTCCTCATTCCGCTGTGCTGATGGTAACCATGCACCAAGAGCTCATCCAACAGCTTATGGCTCGGGGGGGAGCTGCTGAACAAGCTTGGAGCTTCACATTCTTCCAGCACACATCCCACAGGACGGCCCTCCCCCTTTCACTCCCCGCCATTGCAGCTCTCCTTAATCACAGGAATCCAGATTCCATGCACTCAGTGCACACAGCGATCGCCCACCTTCCCCACAAACACTTCCTTGACCCACAAAGCCCTCAGCATGGGAAGAGTGGCTGTGTGGGTGTCACAGAGGTAAGCATTTATTAATTTCTGCTTTAATGGTTGATCAACTTAAAAATCCCTGCTGACCAATAAACAATCACAACTTGGGCATAGCTCAGAGCAAGATCATGGAGCGCAGCCTGCAGCTTTCCCCTGTGCCATGTCAGTGCTTCTCCTGGGTCCATGATGCTGGCGGATGCAGAGCCCCAGGGCTGTGCACAAAACTGCAATGAGGTGTGTTTAACGTTCTCCAACCTTTGCCCACATTGATCCATGGCCAAGTTCCTCCTCTTGAACCCTGGAGCTGGGCAAAGGTAGGACAAGCAGGGTATGGCCACATATTTCCTGCAGCTCAGGTGAGGGAATTCTCTCTCTGTGGGGCTCCTTGTAGGGGAAATCTCCGGGGGGTCACCTGCTCTGCCCCACAGCCTGTGAGGAGCACTGGCACTGCCCAAGGTGGTGGTGGCTGTGCTCATGGAACTCATGTTGGACTGACCCCATCCCCTCCTGCTCTGGTGGCTGTAACCCTCTGGGTCCCTCTCTTCTCCTCTCTCTTCCTCTCTCTTCCTGAACTTCTTCCTCATCTCCTTTCCAGATCTCCTTTCCCATCTTTTCCAGCCTCCTTCTCCATCTCTGTCCCCAGTCTTCTTCCCCCACCTCCTTCCCCTATCTTCTTCTCTCATTTCTTACTCATTTTTTACCCATCTTCTTTCACATCTGCTCCATCATCCCCTTCTCAGTCTCCCTCCTCTCTCTCCCCAATCCCTTTCCCCCTCCTCTTCTCCAGCACAGATGCACTCCATACTGGGCCGCAACCACCCCACTTTCGCCCTCCCCTGGAGGACCCTCCTGCCTTATCTCGTGGCTCTGCACCTCCTGCACCTGGGATCAGGTAGGGGTCCTGTGGGGCTGCTGTGCCTGGCAGAGGTCTTGCTGTGGGGTGGGGGAGCAGCCATGGGGCAGGCCAGGCCCAAGCCCAGCACCCAGACACACTTGGCTTTCACTTTCACTTTGGGTGTATCATGAAATGCACCATTTGGGGTAGAATTTCTGGCTCTTCTTCACCTCCACCACACGTTGTCAGTGGGCTCCCACCCACACAAATCCTTCCCCACCCTCTCCTGCGCCCTCTCCAGTGCTTTTACATGGCATGGAGCACACACCAACTCACCCTGTGCCGCTCCCTGACCCCACATTCACACAGCCACCATCTCACTGTCTCTCCATGCCCTTCTCATTGCCCAGCCCAGCTCAGGGTGGTGGCACCGAGCCTCCATGTCACTGCCATCGTGGGACAGGACGTTGTGCTGCGCTGCCACTTGTCCCCGTGCAAGGATGCTTGGAGCTGGGACATCAGATGGATCCAGCACCGGTCCTCTGGTTTTGTGCACCACTACCAAAATGGAGTGGACCTGGAGCAGATGGCGGAATATAAAGGGAGGACAGAACTGCTCAGGGATGGTCTCTCTGATGGAAACCTGGATCTGCGCATCACAGCTGTGAGATCCTCTGATAGTGGCTCGTACAGCTGCACTGTGGAAGATGGTGACAATTATGCAGAAGCCGTGGTGAACCTGGAGGTGTCAGGTCAGCGGCTGGGGTGACGCCTCCAGCTGTCCCTGGGTTTGTGTGTCCCACCCCCACCTCTGTCCATCCTCATCCACACATCCATGCTTGGAGAGCTGAATGACAGCAGCCTTTGGAAGAGGTCGGGGCTGAACTGCTCCATGGGATGCTGGAGTTGGAGTGGGTGCACAGTGTGATTTGGGGATGGATCTGCATGAATGAGGTGGTTGGGCTGGGTTTCTGGGATGGGTTTCTGGGATGGGTTTCTGGGATGGGTTTCTTCCTGTCTCAGTGGCAGTGGGCACAGGATGCTCAGCAGCTCCTCCACCTGTGCCAAGCTGGGCATGCTGCCATTGTGTGTCACTGCTCCCTGCTTGCTGCCCCTTCTGGTTTTGCGATCTCAAGAAGTCCGAGTTTCGCTTTTCCCACATATGGGAATGGAAAAGGAACCCTTGTCCTGATGCTTTTTCAGATCCCTTTTCTCAAATCGTCCATCCCTGGAAGGTGGCTCTGGCTGTGGTCATCACACTTCTGGTTGGGTCATTTGCTGTCATCATTGTTTTTCTCTATAGAAAGCAAGGTGAGCTGAGAGCGGAGGGGATGGAGCACAGGGAGGTGTTGTGCAGGGACAGGGATGGTCGGGGTGGTGCTGAGCTCTGATCCGTGGAGGCACACGGGAGGAGGATGGGAGATTTTTACTGGGATTCCCAGGGTCATTAAATAACATTTGCCTTTCTTCTTGGGAACGAAGGAAGGGAAAAAGGAAGGGTGGAAAGATAGGAACTTGGATGGACCGTGGGGCAGGTGGAAAGGTCCAGACCCTCTGCAGACGTCCCCACAAACCAAGCTGCCCTGCTCACCACCTCTTCCTCTGCTTTGTTTTGCAGCTGCACAGATCAAAGTGCTGAGTGAGTCCTTCCAGCCCCTTCCCCACCAAAGTCCCTTTAATGGAGCTGATAGAAGACTGCAGAGTGCTGGGTTTATGTGATGGGTTGGGACCATGGGATCTTTGGGGCCTTGGGATGTGTTGTACTGTGAGATGAACAGGGGTTATGGGAGGAAATGCGGTAATTGGATGTGTGCATCCTGACTCATCCATTTGCAAAACTTTTGCCCAATCGGTTTCTTCCTATTGCTTTAATTCTTTCTTGGGATCAAAGCGGCCACTGTCCTCTTCAGATATCAAAAGGGTTAAGGTCGGGGGGTGGGAGCAGCCATGGGATGAGAAGGTGCTCCCTCTGACCATACATTTTCTTTGCTTCTATTTTGCAGAGAAAAAAGACACATTGTTGGGTAAGTGTCCTTCCTCACTCTGAGGGAATTCGGGGTCTCCCCAAATTGGCATCAGCCATGGGATGAGCAGCTGTCCCCTCTGACCGTGCACTGCTCTGCTCTTTCTTTTCCAGCGGATCAAGCTTTGACAGAGGGTGAGTTCTCTTTCACAAATCAAAGTACTTAAGTTCTTCCCATGGGAAGCGGTTCACTCTGATCATCAGTTGCTATTGTGTTTGCTATTGTGTAAAATTCCTTCTTAAGACCAAAGTGCTCATTGGCCACTTCCCAGAACAAGATTTGGGGTCTGGGTTATGGGAGTAGCCATGGGATGAGAAATTGTTCCCTCCCACCATGCATTTCCTTTGCTTTTGTTTTGCAGAGAAAAAAGATGCAGTGTTGGGTAAATCTCCTTTCTCAAAGTGAGGGAATTCAGGGTCTCCCCATGGCATCAGCCATGGGATGAGCACCTGTCCCCTCTGACCCTGCACTGCTCTGCTCTTTCTTTTCCAGCCGCTCAAGCTCTGACAGGCGGTGAGTTTTCTTCCACATATCAAAGTACTGAGGTTCTTCCCACGGGAAGCCGTTCTCTGTAATCATTTGTTCCTATGGTGTTTGCTTCTTCCTCCATGTCAGTAAGATTACTTCTTAAGACCAAAGTGGCCATTGGCCACTTACAGAATACAAAGATCTGTGGTCAGGGTTATGGGTATAGCCATGGGATGAGCAGCTCTCCCCTCTGACCCTGCACTGCTTTTTCTTTTACAGCACAACAAGCTGAAGCACTGGGTGAGTTTTCTTTCTCAAATCAAATAACTTTGGGTTCTCTCATGGGAAGCTGTTCTCTCTGATTATCAATTGCTATTGGGATTGCTTTTTCCTTCAGACTAGATTTATTCCTTCTAAGACCAAAGTGGCCATTGGCTACTTATAGAATACAAAGATCTGTGGTCAGGGTTATGGGTATAGCCATGGGATGAGCAGCTCTCCCCTCTGACCGTGCTCTGCTCTGCTTTCTTTTCCAGCACAACAAGCTGAAGCACTGAGTGAGTTTTCTTTCTCAAACCAAATAACCTTGGGTCTTCCCATGGGAAGCTGTTCTCTCTGATCATCAGTTGCTTTTGTGTTTGCTTCTTCCTCCAAGTAAGCAAAATTGCTTCTTAAGACCAGAGGGGTCATTGGCCACTTCCCAGAACAAAATATTTGGGGTCTGTGTTATGGAAGTAGCCATGGGATGAGAAATCGCCCCCTGTGACCATGTATTTCCTTTGCTTTTTTTTTGCAGAGAGAAAAGATGCAGAGTTGGGTAAGTCTCCTTCCCCACCTGGAGGAATTCAGGGTCTCCCCAAGGCATCAGCCATGGGATGAGCAGCTCTCCCCTCTGACCGTGCACTGCTCTGCTTTCTTTTCCAGCACAACAAGCTGAAGCACTGGGTGAGTTTTCTTTCTCAAATCAAATAACTTTGGGTTCTCTCATGGGAAGCTGTTCTCTCTGATTGATTCTCCCTTGCTTCTGGGTTTATTTTTTTCCTTCATTCTTGTTTAATTACCTCCCGGTACCAAAGTGGTCATTGGCCACTTCAGAGAAGAAAATATTTGGGGACTTTGTTATGGGGGCGGCCATGGGATGAGAAGGTTTCCCTCTGACGATGCATTTCCTTTGCTTTTGTTTTGCAGAGAGAAAAGATGCAGAGTTGGGTAAGTCTCCTTCCTCACTCTGAGGAATTCAGGGTCTCCCCAAGGCATCAGCCATGGGATGAGCAGCTGTCCCCTCTGACCCTGCACTGCTCTGCTCTTTCTTTTCCAGCGAAACAAGCTGAAACACTGAGTGAGTTTCCTTTCTCAAACCAAGTAACTTTGGGTTCTCTCACGGGAAGCTGTTCTCTCTGATCGATTCTCCCTTGCTTCTGGGTTTATTTTTTTCCTTCATTCTGGTATAATTCCTTCCTGGGACAAAAGTGGACATTGGCCACTTCCCAGAACGACGAGATTTGGGTCTGGGTTATGGGATTTGACACGGGATGAGAAGGTTTCCCTCTAACCATGAATCTCCTTTGCTTTTCTTTGCAGAGAAAAAAGATGCAGAGTTGGGTAAGTCTCTTTCCCCACGCTGAGGGAATTCAGGGTCTCCCCAAGGCATCAGCCATGGGATGAGCAGCTGTCCCCTCTGACCCTGCACTGCTCTGCTCTTTCTTTTCCAGCCGCTCAAGCTCTGACAGGCGGTGAGTTTTCTTCCACATATCAAAGTACTGAGGTTCTTCCCACGGGAAGCCGTTCTCTGTAATCATTTGTTCCTATGGTGTTTGCTTCTTCCGCCATGTCAGTAAGATTCCTTCTTAAGACCAAAGTGGCCATTGGCCACTTACAGAATACAAAGATCTGTGGTCAGGGTTATGGGGGCAGCCATGGGATGAGCAGCTGTCCCCTCTGACCCTGCACTGCTCTGCTCTTTCTTTTCCAGCACAACAAGCTGAAACACTGAGTGAGTTTTCTTTCTCAAACCAAATAACCTTGGGTCTTCCCGTTGGAAGCTGTTCCATTTGATTGGGTTCCCTTGCTGCTGAGTTTCCTTTTTTCCTTCATTTTGGTTTAATTCCTTCCTGGGACAAAAGTGGTCATTGGCCACTTCCCAGAACAAAAACATTTGGGGTCTGGGTTATGGGATTTGACACGGGATGAGAAGGTTTCCCTCTGACCACGCATTTCCTTTACTTTCATTTTGCAGAGAGAAAAGATGCAGCGTTGGGTAAGTCTGCATCCCCACTCTGAGGAATTCAGGTCTCCCCAAGGCATCAGCCATGGGATGAGCAGCTGTCCCCTCTGACCCTGCACTGCTCTGCTTTTTCTTTTCCAGCACAACAAGCTGAAGCACTGAGTGAGTTTCCTTTCTCAAACCAAGTAACTTTGGGTTCTCTCACGGGAAGCTGTTCTCTCTGATTGATTCTCCCTTGCTTTTGGGTTTATTTTTTTCCTTCATTCTTGTTTAATTCCTTCCTGGAAGCAAAGTGGCCACTGGCCACTTCCCAGAGCAAAATATTTGGGATCCGGCGGTGGGGTTTGACATGGGAGGAGGAGATGTTTCCTCTGATTTTGCACTGCCTTTCTTTTCTTTTGCAGAGAGAAAAGATGCAGAGTTGGGTAAGTCTCCTTCCCCATGCTGAGGAATTCAGGTCTCCCCAAATTGGCATCAGCCATGGGATGAGCAGCTCTCCCCTCTGACCCTGCACTGCTCTGCTCTTTCTTTTCCAGCACAACAAGCTGAAGCACTGAGTGAGTTTCCTTTCTCAAACCAAGTAACGTTGGGTCTTCCCGTTGGAAGCTGTTCCCTTTGATTGGGTTCCCTTGCTGCTGAGTTTCCTTTTTTCCTTCATTCTGGTTTAATTCCTTCCTGGGACCAAAGTGCTCATTGGCCACTTCCCAGAACAAGATTTGGGGTCTGGGATATGGGAGCAGCCATGGGATGAGGAGGTTTCCCTCTGACCATGCATTTCCTTTGCTTTTGTTTTGCAGAGGAAAAAGAAGCAGTGTTGGGTAAGTGTCCTTTCTCAAAGTGAGGGAATTCAGGGTCTCCCCAAGGCATCAGCCATGGGATGAGCAGCTGTCCCCTCTGACCCTGCACTGCTCTTTGTTTTCCAGCACAACAAGCTGAAGCACTGAGTGAGTTTCCTTTCTCAAACCAAGTAACTCTGGGTTCTCTCATGGGAAGCTGTTCTCTATGATTGATTCTCCCTTGCTTCTGGGTTTATTTTTTTCCTTCATTCGGGTTTAATTCCTTCCTGGGACCAAAGTGGACATTGGCCACTTCCCAGAACAAAACGTTTTGGGTCTGGGTTATGGGATTTGACATGGGATGAGAAGGTTTCCCTCTGACCACGCATTTCCTTTCCTTTTGTTCTTCAGGGACAGAATATGCAGCGTTGGGTAAGTCTGCATCCCCACTCTGAGGGATTCAGGGTCTCCCCATGGCATCTGCCGTGAAATAAGCAGCTTTGGAAAGGTGAAGCCAAGAGAATGAGGGGAGACCCCAAAAGGAAGAGACAGGAATGGGATGCAGGGGTCTAAAAAAGGAGCCCCAAAAGGAAGGGGAGAGAAATGGGGTGGAGGGGTCCAAAAAAAGGGCAGAAGGAGCCCCCAAATGGGGACAGGAGGAGTGAGAGTGGGGATGGAAGAGTC